GATCAACACGACTGATTTTGACTGACTAAAGAATTATGAAAACCTTTGATCTGTATAGGAAGTATTACTGCAACATTTTGTGTCATGGTAGGCAACCTAGATCAGTCATGGCGTCAAATCTAAATTATTTTGTATCACTCCCTCGAACTTTTTAATGGTTTATGCTATTTTATTATAACACAACGGCATACGCTTTTTATGACACTAAACAAATTGAAAACGTTAAATGGAATCTCCAGCCTCTAGGAATAGAAAACAGTTCATTTCAATGCATCAGTAAAATGTATTTATGAGGTACATTGTACATTTGTAACCATAACTTTTAGTCCGTTGAGAATTGTTTACTATGTTAACATTAAAATAACTATCGAAATAACTAGTGAGTAGTCATCAACTAGTTAAATGAAAGAAATTTCACAATATAATACTTAATATTAATAATTCTTCATTCAGTGGCGGGTTTAAGGGAGGGCCCTCCCTCCCCTCCATCTGGGACTAAGCTATTTATTTTTCTAAGACAAATAATATGATACACCTATCAATAATATTATAAACTATTATATAATATCATCATTGTAGAATATGGTCTCAACTCTCGACAGATGATAATATCATTGAACAATTTTCAAAAGTTAAAAAAAGAAACTTGAAATTAATAATGTAATTAAAATATTTTTTTAAATAAACAGTTCATATTTGTTATTAATTATTAGTTATTACTTTAATAAATGGTTTCAGATGAAAATTGATAACAATATAACTGTTTAAAATATGTTGTTATTGTTAAAAAAAAAACATAAACATACATAACAAAAAAAAAAAAATGACATACATATTTAGTAGAAACATTATGTTGATTCAAATTTTATATAAAATACTACTATGTAAATTATTGAGTCTCAATTAGCCCTGACCCCTTAGTGAGTAATAGAACTCGTCCCTTACTTCATTCTKGATATTATGATAGTACATTTTTTTAAATAATGACTTAAAATATTTAATACTTGATATTTTTGTTTAATATACTACTGATTTTTTTTCGAACAGCTGAAATTCTCAAATGTTTACAGTTTAGGATAAACCCAATTAGTTTAAGAAACTAATTGGTATTTTATAATTTTACCTCATCTGTTATATCAAAATATGTTGTGTACTATTGTCCTTGTCTATTAGAAATAAATATTAGCATAATAACATTACACTATTTAATTTGTCAAATAATTTATTTAGTTAGTATTATTTTTATTTTACTTATTTATTTCATAAACAGTTTTTATTAGCATGATATATTAATTATATTTCATGTGTAAAATATGTATAATATTTATATTTATATACCTAATCTTTGTATATTTAAATATTTGCTGTTTACTTATATATAATATAGTCACTTACWGTCTAATTATTTCCGTAAATAAAGATTATTATTGTTATTTAATATTTATTATCRAGGCAATATCTTGACCAGCAAACATTTATATTAGTTTCCATTACTTTTTCTATCATTTCATTAATTAATTTATAGTACAATACAACATTAAGGCTTCTCAGGACCAAAAAACCCAAATATTTAGGAACAATGTTGAATAAAACAGTAGGTATATTTGGAAAGCAATACAAAAATAACATAAATAGGCATATGTATTTTTATGATGATTTAAATATCAATAATTTTTGTTATAATAAAAACTAGCGTGTATTAATCAAATTGAATTGGACAATTTATATAAATTGACAATAATTAACAATCATTAACCTATAAATCAAACATATTTAAATTATTTCATTAGTATAAAAATAAAATCATATTTGTTCTATTTATTAGATCACATAAATGTTTGATGTTTTAAAAATGTATTGGTAACAATTTAAATTTAAATATCATGGTTATGATTTTGATTTAAATACTTACAAATAATAAATTATAGAACTATTATTTGAAGTAAGAAAAA